CGAAAACGAGCAGGAAGCATCCTTCCATACAAGAAGTACATAGACATAAACATGCACGATGACTAATTTTCACCATAGACAGAATATACAGGAATCTCACCCACGAATGCGGTCCCTCAACTCATCATCAGAAATCTTGGTCCTTGCATAGCCAAAGATGTGAACTTCGTCTGATTGCAAAAATCCCTAACACCACAACCAAGTCAGAAATTAGAATTTAAGAGATCGATTATGTTCCAGCATTTAATGAAATGCTATCTTCCCAATTTTCTTTTTCAATACGTGTAATAAGCACTGAGTAATCATTTTTATGATAAAAAATTTCATGTTAGAAATATAGAACAAACACCAATTGTATACAAAGTATATAGCATTCATGACACAAACAAATAGATAACAAAAATTCAAAATAAACCTTCCCATAAAGGTTAAAGAGCGCCGGGAAAGTCTTTTTCTTGGCAAGATCACCGGAAGCACCAAGGACAATAATGGAGAGACACCCAGTTTCAAGTACATTCTCATCCTCGTTCCTAAAAGACTCATTCTTGAATCTTTTCTCACAGTGCCATTCACCAGACGCCATTCTCCAAAAATCGCAAATACGAACAAACTATCACGAGAGCTTAAAATTCACCTATTATAGCTCCAGATCTGCATAAAGTAGAAAAAGAAATTGAATACCAGTAATCTAGAAAATTCCACTATCATTTCACTTCAAAAAAAAAAAAAATCGATTAAACTTTTAAAATTACTGAATATTTATATTCGACCAATTGATTCGAGAAAAAAACTAATTAAATTCAAGATAAAAAAAAAATTAAAAAAAAAATCAGTTCACCTAATACGAAAACAAAATACTTGGAATTAGGCGTGACAATGAAGTTGTATTATAAAGTGTAAACATAATATTTGATATATTTACGATTTATGAGTAAATAAAGCAAAAGAAGTACTTTATCGTTCTATCTTATCTGTAAGAGATTGGGTGTGTATTCCTATCTAATCTGTCAGATCGGGTGCGCATAAGTTTTAATTCTCCAATCATGCTATGGTGTCCGAAATAGCTTGGTCCTGCCATTTCTCTTTTGGACTTCTCATTCACGCCACTCGCGCACATGTAAGGTAATGTCATGCTGTTTTCGCGCGGGTTAGTCGCTAACAATTAAAAAGAATCAGACGATTATATAAGGGACAAACCTCTTGAGACAGTCCCAAAAAGGGGGTGTTCTTTTATTGGCGATGACTTTACAATTGGAAATCGAAAACAAAATGCCTCCAAGGGGCGCAAGCACACGAGTTACTGAAAAAAGTGTTTAAGTCTAAATTAAGGAAATTAAAATTACATGTTCTCTGTTCGAGAGTTTTTAATTCGGTCCTTTTGCTCTATATCTTTTCTCCCTTTTATACTCCATGGATGATCTTTTTGTGATCAACCGCCTAAAAACTGCTTGATCGTTCTGCAACTGCCCACTTTCCTCATAATGGCCAGCTTGTCATGAAAACTGCCTTATTTAACTGCTGCTACTACTCTTCGTCGTTCAACTGTTTTCGATTGAATTCCTTGAATCGTGGAACGTGATGGGGCTGCTTTGATAGCTGCACTTCTTGATAACCACAACGCTTTATGTTTGTTAAGATTTTGGGCGACTTGAAGGTTTTGGCGAGAATAGAGTAACAGTTCTAGGCGACTGTATGGCACTCCATTCGCTCAGATTCTGGGCGACTTGCAAACTTGGGCAATGGCGTTATCGCGTTCTTGGGCCTCCCTATTTGGGCCTTCATCTTGAATTGTTTGATTGGGCTTCGTTCTTTGGGCTATCTGATTTGGGGATTCTCCAATTAGACTTCATTCCTTGGGCCGTTCGATTTGGGCTGAATTTTTATGTGTCAACAATTACCCCCCAATATAGCAGAATTAATAATAATTATTAAATTTTGCCATATTCACTTTGTGTTTCCAGCAAGATTCGAGATTTTCAAAAATTTCAATCATTGTTTTTTCCATAACTTGAAAAGGTGCGTCGTTTTGCAAACCCTTATAACCCCCAAACACGTCATTTCACTGCACCACTAAATCACGCCTCAAATTTTTCGCGTCTCTCCCACGATTTACCGTTCATCTTTTGTTTCCCTGCTACGTAACCCTGAAAAATTTCGTTCCATCTCAAATGGCTACTTCACAATTTCAAGCTGGCGACTTCTTTAGTTTTGATGACTTTCAGAAACTTCTGAGTCGTCCATACATAACTCCGAGTTTTCTCGCGCCCACCGATGTTGAACGCAATGAGTTCTACTTAGGTCCTTTCTTCAACAATGCAGAGGCAATTGAACAGGTGGCGGCGGGTCAGCTGTTTCCTTGTACTCAAGGCCCTCCATTTCTAAACTCTCTGCCGCTGGGGCCACTTCGCGAAAGAGGTATTCGCA